TTTCGCATGTTCACAACATCAAGTGTAGGTTTTTTTTTGGTGATAAAATATTTCATGTTCACGTTTGCAAACACGAATGAATAAACCATATACAAGCGGAGTCAAATCGCGTTTATTATTGATAAAGCAAACCATATGAAAAGTTATTCTCAAGAGAACGCGGTCTGATGAAATGCTGCGCATTTCAAACACGTGTCTGACCAAGTGGAGGTACATGACCCAGCTAAGTTTTTATTTTTGAAAAATAAACAAAAATGTGAAAATATTCGTGCGAGTTTATGTCAAGGATGGGATACATGGCATTAAAAAATTATTCGTTTTATTAATTACGTTCTTTTTGTTCAACATTTCACAAGTGAATTTCCCTGCAGAGACTACACAAATTCCATCGTAGCCAAGAACTTTCTTTTTGTTTTCCATTTCACATTAATTAATTCCAACAGTTCAATCAAGACGAAATGTTTGACGATCCAAATTGCAGTGCCTTTGATTACGGTGCGTGAAATGATTTACTCAGCATTAAGCCGTGAAATTTATGCCTTGGGCATGCAACTACTATTAGCTCCCATCAATATCATGAATTGCATAATTGAATGCGTTTTCGATCGTAAACGGCATACTCGTGCAGCACATAACTCACATTCATTATCAGGCATCGTAAATGTTTGATGAATGTTTTCGTTGTTCCAGCAACCGGAAGCTCAGTATGCTTGCACAATGCATAAGCACACACACTGTATCACAATCAAGACAGGCATTTTGATGAGTGCATCACATATATGTCTTCCTTTGTTTGTGTTCTACGTGAGTATGGCACAGAATTTTTTTTTCAACTTGGATCAGTTTGATGTGAATCATCTTCTTAAGCGTCTCGATAATATCACCCCATTCTGATTGGGAACGTCGTTGGGAAAATATTCAAAATTTAACGATGCATATAATTTGTTTTTGATAATAATGTGTTCTTCGATGCATTCGACGATTCATCTCATGATGATAGCAGCTTTCGTTCCATCAAAACTACTTTAAATTATGCAATCATTAATATGAATTATAAATAGTGATGGAAGAGAAAAGATGCTACCAAAGCGGCAAGCATATAGCGTTTAATTTTCTTAGTTTTTTTTCGTTCCCTAGTGAACATTTCAAGCGTAAAGATTCCGCAATATCGACTCGAGCATGAGCGAAATCCATGCGGATATAATATAGTCAAATGGATACGCCGTCTTTCATTTGAAATATGCTACACAACAGAATCGGGCGGATTATGTCAATATTTATGTGAATGAATGTGAATCGCATGAAAAATAAACAAAGAAGAGATAAGGGGATGAATGGCAAACTTTAAATGTGACGGATTGGAAGGAATCGATACTATTCAAACAAATACGTCGAACGATAAACTTTGATCAATGTAAAATGAAGATATGTATTACAACAATTGATATGGAGTCGGAAATAACTTATTCTGCTAAAACTTAGGCCAAAGAAGTTTTCTATGCAAATTGATGGAATTTAGACACAACTTTAGTATCATGTCGATTTTTTCTTTCTTTACGCAACGGAATCTAGATCACAACTACTGTATTTGATTTGTAACTCAAAACTTGTGTGAAACGACTGAGAGTATTTGAGCAATGTTCTTGCTACTGCATGAATATGAAAGCCATCCCGAGAGAAACTTCAGTAATTCGCATCTTTTAAAAGTTTGCTGTTTTTTCTTCTTATTCTCCTTCTTCTCTATCACAAAACTAAATGAAATACACGATGAATTCATTCCGTTGTTTTGCTGAGTAAAGTTTTGCGCCATGTTCGTTTTTGGTTGTTTTTGGTCGCGACTGCAAGTAAATGTCAGTTAGCACTTGAGTTCAGGATTTTCATTCGTACGTTGTTCAAAGACGCATTGTTCATTTCGGTGTGGTTAGCTATTTTTCCATTGGTACGCGCCATTCACTAAGGACCTTGACATAATACCGTTTTGCTCTGGTGCTCTGCAGCGTCATTGCACCAGCATAATACATGTTGATCTCATCAACGCTGCCGAAAAAATGCGAAACAAGCTCAAATACAACCGGAGAAAAAAATCAGCAGCAGCAGCAGCAGCAGCAACGAAATTGAAATGAATTCGCCACTTTTTGCTCATTTACGTCCACAACGAGTTTGTCATTCGTATAACGTTGGCCTTGCTACTTTTCACCACATTATTTCGAAAAACAGCATCAAACGGAATTATAATTGCGTTTTTCATGTCGGTGATTTTGCGACAGCTCAAAAAAGTGGACGGACGTTTGAGCTACGCGTACAGTTCAGCTTCTCTCTGTCTCCCTCTGGATAATGTTTGTCAAACTCTGTCGGTTTTTCATTGCGTTCGCTATAATTTGTGCGCTGAATAAGTAAAAGAAAAAAAAAAAACTAGATGAAGTCGCATTGCATCCGTTTACCATCGCATGAATTTGAGGTTACGCTCGAAATTAATTCGATGGATAATGTTCTAAACTCAACTTTTTTTGCAGCGCAAAAAACATGCTGAATGTTTGTATACAGTGAACACAATGGCCAAACGTATTAAATGCAAATACTGATTAATGAAATAAATTAATTCAATGCCAAAGTAAGCGCAGAAGAAGCGCACTTTTCTCCATTCCATTGTTAAAATGCTGGTCCCATAACAAATGGCGCGTTCTCTTTGCTGCAGTTTTGATTAACCTAATGCAAAATAGCAGTAAAAAAAAAGTCATCAGACAGAGCCATTGTGTGTATACATGGTGCTCGGTGTACGATAAGCTCCTTAAAGTGAATTAATTTACCATTTGTTGGAATTTTATTGATAACATTCGGTATACGGGCTTTGGATTGTGCATGATTTTGCTAATAATCCGAGCGAGCGAACACATACACATACACATTACACACACAAAGTACTATTTAATCAAATCGAAGAGGTAAAAAAAGCCATATGTAACCGAATGTGATTGAAGTTACATACACTCCATTCGAATACGTAATTCATTGTGTATTTTATGTCTAGACATCTGGTTTATGTCGATATCGATTGTGATTCAGTTCGGCGGTTGGTGGGAGACTGGAGCTAAGATTTCTATCGGACGCCGAGTTGGATTTGCAAACATTTTTTTTTAACGAAATAGATATCGAAAACACTTTCCGTGTGTTTGCATCGATTTAATCGGATTTCGGAATTAATTTAGAATATATACTGACCAACCGACCATAATCACCGTATGGCAAAATAGGAGACCAACCCTGTAAAAGCCAGAATAATGGGAAAAAATTGTAAAACTATGTTAATCGTATTATCGTTCCAAATTCAATATTTACTTTGTCAAATTGCTCGGTTCCATATCGGTTTAATGTAATTAGGTTGGCAATTTGCAGTGAAACTGATAGTTGATGGATATACTATTTGGTTTTTTGTTCACATTCAACTTTTAACACCAACAATACGAAGCTGGGCTAATTAAAACGGCAGCTCATATCGCTGTCGGCCCAGTCAAACTATTGAATTGCAAACCGCAGACGCATACAAATGCATTTGCTCGCACCAAATTCGATTTCATGTATAAACATTATTTTTCAAGATGCAACCAACTCCATCAGTGAAATGAATGAATGGTCCATTTTTTTCTGTGTGCATCTCTCATTTTCATTTTAGCGTCGTTCAAAACAACGCAATCAAATGTCGGAAATTTCATACAGAACGACTGGCTGTGTATCAGAGCGTGGCAATTTCAAATTTAGAACTCAATGACTGTTTTTTATTCGTAGCTCATTTCACTGTTTACGTTTCGATTCAACCATTTGATGGTTTCGGTTCATAGTATCAAAATGTGAAGCTGTGAATGTGTGTGTTTGTGTGTATGTGTTACGTGTTCGAATTAAATCGGGCTTGACTGTCAATAGCCGATATTTTCTATCAGTATCTCGGCTCGCACGTAACGGACAACAGCTGTTTGGTGTTTGCAATTACAACAGCATATTTGTCATGTTTCTGGCGAATTATTGTTTGGTTTTTTTTCTTCATTCGTATCTTGATTTGTGTACGAGTTTTTGGCTCATCCAAGTGAACTCTCCGTCTATTTGAGTATTAAATAAACAGAACGCGCCCGATGCGTCATTCATTCACGCTCAAAAGTCATGACCATCGTTGTTATACGGCATTCTCCCGCTCTGCTCTAGCTATTTATAGATACGTGTATTTATCGCTGTTTTGTTGTGTGCAAAGAAAAAACAAAAACTGCTCGAATGTCCGATTCGCTTCGACTGGATAGTGATAAAGAACAAAAGATGTTAATTGAGAAAAATGTGTTACTCAATAGAGTTTCCACGATTGAACGGCAAACAATGGCAAACGGTGAAATAAAATCGCATCCAATGAAAATAGAGAAGCTGCCAGTGAAAACGATAGGTGATGCAATTGACTGTAAATTATTTCAGCATTTTGATCCTTATCTGAAGGTCATCAGGAGTGAACATGAGACAAACGTTGTTGTTATTGTTTGAAAATAGCCGAAACTTGTTGATTTCCACTTGAGATAGTTAATTTATGTGATGGCATTTCCGGCGATTACATTTATATTGAAATATTTCCACTGAAAAGGCCATCTGAATGCTTTTCTGGGGTGACAAAAGTGTATAAGTGAATTGGCGGTGTGTGTGTGTGTATTTTGGTGCTTCAGAATATTTATGGTTAGGTATCGAATTGAAAATTGGCAGCATTGCATTGGAACGCTTCCAAGAATGTGAAATAAATCGTTTACGAATTGTTACACTCTGTGCAACAACCGCGTACAAATATGGAATTCCAAAAGAAATGGTGAAGATAACGATGATGCACTTCCACTTCTCTCAACTCTCAATATTCGACTCTCTTCATTGTTTCCTTTCTTTTCTCTTCTGTTTTCTAGTAGAAAAACCCGTTTTCATTGCTGTCAAAATTATTTTCTTTTATTCACACTCAATTTTATTCTTTTCTCACCACACAGATTCCGAATTAGAAGAATTAGAAACCACGGTAAGTTGGAATTTATCAAATTTCGAATTTGATTTTTGGTTTCATTCATAAATATAAAACGGGCTAAAATTCCCCTATTCTTTCAATTTTCAACCAATTTCAGCCACGATATCGCCCGGATTCACTAAGTGCATTAAGTCGGTCAACCCGTTTTTCCGAAGCAGAAATCAAACGAATTTACCGTGGATTTAAGGCCGAATGTCCAACTGGCGTTGTTAAAGAGGATACATTCAAAATTATCTATTCGCAATTCTTCCCGCAAGGAGGTTTGTATTCAAATTTTCAACTCGCTACTACACGCAATTTACAATTCGCACGGTCGTACAAGGGTGCGGCATTCCAATTTATCGCTCCGACAAATTCCTTTCTTCGACGAACCATTTCTCGTTCGTTTATTTGGTTTGTTTGTTTTTTTTCTTTTTTTTTTTTTAATTCTTCGGTGTTAACACGGGAATTAGTTATAGGGATACATGAGCAAAATATAAAAGCGGTTGAACATTGGAAAATTAGATATGTAGAAAGTGGAATATTCGATGCGGACAGAAGAATTTCGGCACAAAACCATATAAATTGTGTATCGCAATTCAGAAATGCTGTGGAATGTAAAACATGGTCATTGCCATGTTTACTGATCAGAATTCATCGTCGTCGGGTTGTGCTATTTCTTTGGACAAGTATTTATTACAGCCATAAAATACGAGAGAATAAATAATTTACTTTTAAGGCAAACGAGCTTACAGCAAAAAGCAGCACAAGAACAGTGAAGCACTAAGAAGAAAAAAAACGACACACTTTATTTCGGTTGATAGTAGTAAAAAAGGTGGCCCTATAAAAAATGCAACACCAACTCTGCTGCTGTCTTTTTGCATTCCAAGTGATGCAAACGAATCCGTGCAAATAGCAACCCGATATAAATCAATCGAAATGCAAAATATGGATTTGCAACGTCTTGTTCGCGCATCGTAACTGACACCCAGATTTTATTTAATAAATTCCCCCGGTTTTACTTTTCAATTTCGTTTGCATTTTGTCGCTTCAATGAATCTTCTCATCTTTTATTGTTCATTTTCCACGGCAATTCCACGAACTACGACAGCATTTTTTACACAGCTTCGCTTGTTCATTAAACACAATATAGAACTCGTTCTAGAAGTAAACATGAAAATTGTGCATAAAACACGTTTCCGCGACGCGTAAACAAGAAAAGGATTTCAATTTTTTATTGACGTACGATCATTAATTTACAATTCAGTTTGTTTCAAGCTGTAAATAATACTTGCTCGAACCTTCAAACGCTTGTGCTGTTGTCGATGCGCCCGAGCATCGCAAGAAGACTACGCGAGACAAAGTAGAGGTTCAAGTAAAAAAAAAAAGAGATAAAAAAGCATTTAAAGTGATGAATCATCACTTAACTCGACAGCGAAACATGTTCAAAGACCTTCAGCAATAGTGACAAAGTATAGTTAAAGACTAGAGCAGAAATCTAAACGCATAAAAATGCATTGTATAGAAAAGCTGTAAATCAAATTCCTAATACCCAACTACGAAAATAGAGGCATTAGCTGAACAACCTTTCAAGGAGTATGCCATCCCCTTGAATCTTACAATGAAACACGAGTAGCATACAAAGCCGTTTGATATACTCAATTTAAAGCGACAAATAGTTTTATATCCCGATAAAGTGTTCCATTTGCCGATGCAGCACTTATTAAAATTGGAACAATTTCAACATAGCGATACATTGTCACCTAATTTAACACATGCATGTTATATTTGTATACTTCTCGGTGGATAAGTGAACTTGATTGATGTAGTTAACGTTTGAGTCTGTTCGTTTTTTTTTTTTTGGAATCGGTGTTGAATATCTCTCGATTTTTACGTGTGTGTTTCGTATTTTGTGGGTAATACTAAAATTGAAGCCAGGTAATTGCACTAGTTTCAGTTCATCTCATTTAAATACGAGTGGCCTGGAGTCACTTTGATGATGATATCAACAACAAAATTAATATACGATGACATGAGCTAGTGCAATCATCTGCAGTTCCAGTGATCGTGTGCGTGTACGTGTGTGATGCAATTCAAAATATAAATTGTCTGTGAAATCGATTAACTGAGGATGCAAGGCCGGTTCAGTTAAGCCCATTTTTGGACATGTGTAAATTAAGCCAGAGTCCGGCTCATTTATTCCATTCCAAATTTGCTATCTTTATTTAATCAGTTGCGGCATAGAGATTTTATGGATTGAAATTGCGTCATTTGCACGCGAATTGTAGCAATAATAACCAAGTTTCAGTCGATATCTCCATTGTGTTAATTCAGCC